TGATCAATACTCAGGGATGCAAGCTCAGCCTCTAGCTCTTCATCTGCTATCTGAGCAGGAGTTTTGGTTGCCGGTTTTGGTTTGTTGCTTTCCGGTTCCGGAGTCAAGAGATCTTTCAATTCATTTTCTAGCTCATCCTCATCCGTGACAAAACTTGTGCGACCGAAACTTGACATCATATCGGAAACCTGATTGAAGGAAGAAAAAAGAGGGCAGATTAGAAAACCTCGGACCAAACGACATACAACTTCACGATTGCAAGGGTGAAACAAACAACAGAGAGGGAGTCACGTTTAATGATACACAAACTGGACTGATAAACAGCTTTTGTGTTGATCTGAACGGTCAGCCGATTGTCAGCATGAGTTTGAGTCTTGCCTTTACAGTGCGTTAAAAAGGCTGCGACACGCTTACTCAGATCAAAAGCACTATCTGTCTCTTAGGCATGTATCCGTTTGAAAAAGGAAGAAGCACTGTTGGCCAGAAAAATACCAATCGGAAGCTAAAGCTTCCAGTTTGCCAAACCTACTTCATTTGTATCTTGGACTGTATCCGCGATATCGTGCATTGTGTCCTCAATTTTGGCCAGACCTTCAGAGCCACCGGTGGTTTGTTGAAGCGCGCGCCCTGAATCGGCCAATGCACGTAACACGCTTTGGTTGTCCGATGCGGAATCAATTTGAAGTTGCATTGCTTCTAAATTGTGTAAATGTGTCTGGCGTGTGGCTAACGACTTTTCCAACGCCTTTGTACGTTGAAGCAAGCTTTTGGCTTCACGAACACTAAAGATGAAGTTGAGGGTGAAAGGAGAAATAGGTGAGTTTAATTTAGATTTATTTGTTTTCCGAGAAGAGAAATAGTCATGAAAAGAAAAGGTTCAGGGAGTGACGAGTCGGGTCATACTATTTACCATAAAGTCCTGGATGTGCGCCAAACGTTGTTAGGTCTGATCGACAATTTTCATATTCACCCAATCCATTCGAATTTGAGACCGGACTGGAGCTTTTCGGAATTTAGGTCAACACTGCATGAGTTTTTTTTCATAATAAACAAGAGATGTGAGCTGCAGTAAAAAAAAAGAGCATACCCCATGAGTAAATGTCACTTGAGGAAGGAGTGGAGAAAAGGAAAACATTCGGACTAGGTCCACTTTATTAGTTCGTGTCTAGGAGAGGTGGATAACGTAAGTGAGAGAAGAATGGATCGGCAGTTTCGAGTAAACACAGAGAGAACTGGAAACTAGCAGCGGGTTACCTGAAAACAGACACTTGATAAAGCTGACTGCTTTTGAGAGATAGGGGTCAGTTTCTGTTTTCAAAAACCATTACCATGCACCTGCACACGAGGCGGTTCTGGTTGAAATCCTTTGGCTGTTCAGTCGGATAAAAAAGCAGAAAGACGATTTGAAAGTAGAGAATTCAGCTAGATAAAGACTACAAGGATAATGAGTGGATGCAAGGGTGCCACTGTTTGCTACACTTAGCCACATCAGAGAGATGGGTCAAGTACGGACAAACAAAATACACCGACGAATGTCTAATGAAGCACAACGATAGCGATACGAAATAGTTATAATATGAAGTCAGCCACCTAGAGCTGCGGATACCAATGGCACCGGTGTTCCAATCCCAGTGTGTTAGGTGGATATACATTGCTGATGTTTTCGATAAGACAATTGACCTGTTAACTCTGAATAATAAATCCGCTTTTGTATTGTAATAACTTCTGCAAGCATGAAGCCCACATTTCAGTTAATAAATATACTGTTTGGAGCAAGGAAGAAAAAAACAATGAAAAAAGAGATTAGAATTCCCAAACTGTTAACAAAGTCTGTGAAAACCTGTTCTTTGTTAACAAGAATACGTGCTAATGAGGGTACTGTGGAGTTACGATAAATGTTTATTCTAGAGGGAACGCAACGATATTGTGATCTAGTTGAGGGATGGGAACAACAGGAAGTTAGGTCAGCGTGTAGCGGATGTGTGGAGTCGATGAGAATCTTATGTGCAAACTTTTCACATGCATTCAAATGATATTCGCATATGCTGGTTATCAACTCCGTCAGTGGGACTGAAGAGACACGGCGAAGCAAAGTAAAATCTTTCTTAAGGAGATTGGGAAAAATAACAGATGAACAATAAAGTAAAGCAGGGAAAACACTGATACAAAAAGTTGGAAATAATTGATTGTTGAATACGAAACTGACGAAGTTCACGAATATGAAAAGTCGTCGAAGCTTACTGACGATGTGTTGAATGTGAGAGGTCTAGTGAAGATCAGCATCAACAAAATCGCCCGGGTATTTAATACAGTTTGCCCGGGATACTGGTTCAGAACCAATCGATACCGGTTCAGATGGGAAAGAAGAGCGTGCTAGTGTAAAGAGACATTCGAAACATTTGGAGGGATTAGGAGATAGGCCCGATGTGGCGGAAAATCGTTGAATGTTATCCAAGTTGTCATAAAATTGTGAAAGACCAGAAGAGTCAGAGATGGCCTGACACAAAACCACATCGTCAGCATACTTGAGGAGAGAAGTAGGGGCGCAAGCAGATAAGTCACTGATATACGTAGAAAATAAGTATGGGGAAAGAACTGCACCTTGGAGTAATCCAGAGCTGTTCAACAACGGTTTGGATTTCTTCCGACCTAACCCGGTACACTGAGTTCTCCCGAAGAAGTAATCGGCAAGCCAAGCTAATAACTGTCTAGGACAACCAAAGGTTTCCAGTTTATGAAGAAGGGAACGGGGAATAGAATCAAAAGTAGATGAGTAGTCCAG